TCACGATAGGCCTACAAATGAAATAAATTGCTTTTTAGTTTTTCAGGTAGGTCTAACACACAGTAGGGCTATTAAGATTTTTTGTTTTTTTACCAATTATCCAAATAATGTTTAATCCTAGAAAGCTATTATTATCAGAGGACACGTGAGCATAACGGTTAGCAGATCAATGAATGAGAGGGCAGCGTTACCAGAGTTGCCCATTTACCACACCTTGTTACAGCACAGTAGGGCTATTGCAAACAGAAACAATACTGTACTACATAGATGTTTCCTGTCAGCTCGACTTTTGAGTGGACTTTGCTGTTCCGATGAGCATGAACGGTATACGAGTGGAGCACTCACATGGGCCGTGAGCGACTGAGCGGAGCACACACACGCATAGAGCAGGATAATACGCAGAGCGTCACACCACGTGACAGTGAAACCTGAGTGGTGAACTAATTTTCGGAAGCCGGAATTTCAGTGCATCTCTAATTATTGGCGACATCAGAAATGGATATTATATAATAGCTGTTTTTTTTTACATTTTAGCAATTTAAAAATATAAAAAAAATATTTTTTTACACGGCACCCCGGTTGGGAAACACTGATCTTGAGCAAAAAAATAAATAAATATTAAGGACCCTTCCCATCCCGGCCATAACCTGTTTGTCCTCCTGCCCTCGGGAAGGCGATACAGGGCAATCAAAACGCACACTGCCAAATTATTAAATAGTTTCTATCCAAAAGCTATCCAGTCCCTAAACTAAGGGCTGTCCTGTACTATTTATATATGACACTTTACTGTGGACTGTGCAATAACTGCTCAAATCCTTAACTTTCTTATTTACCTGCTGCATATCAAGTTTATAAATGGAATGTGATAGTGTTGTTTACATATGTGTATGTACTGTAGCAGCATTAAACCGTTTACTTTGTTTAAACAGCTCTTCTTGAAGGGCTATTTCGTATTGTACTTTTATTTATCATATGACACTCATTGTGGATTTTGTGTATGTTTTGAAGCACCAATAGGAGGGCATGTGAAATTTCGTTGTATTCGATACAATGCTGATAAAAAGCCTTCAATTCAATTAAATTCAATTCAATATGTTTACATAATTTAACACAAATTTTATTTATCTGAAGAATGAATTAAATAAAAAAAATTAAATACCTGGATTCTGACTCCATCCTCCACCTAGTTAACTTATATCAGACCCCAAATATGACGCTTATCAATTCAAAGAAATGTGGTCAGTATTAGTTAATTTAAAGGGGTCATATGATGCGATTTCAAATTTTCCTTTCTCTTTGGAGTGTTACAAGCTCTTGGTGCATAAAGAAGATCTGTAAAGTTGCGCGTAAAAAGACCGTATAAGTCATTATAATCAGTAATTATGTCCCCACTGGATACAACAAATGCCTCGTTTGTAATGGGTTTTAATGTTTTTGTCTCGTCGCTCCGGCCTGACAGGGCATCAACAGTATGGTTAGGGGTGTAACATTTCCGTCTCACGCTTGAGGTATTCGGCCAATCACAACGCATTGGATAGCTGGCCAATCACAGCACACCTCGCTTTTTCAGACCGATGAGCTTTGTAAAAATCGACGTGTTTCAAAAAGGCGGGGCATAGAGGAGAAAAAATAATGTACAGTATGTGGAAAATAATGTTTTTTTTAACTTTAAACCGCATAAACACATTTCATTACACCAAATACACAAAATAATGTTATTTTTAGCAGCATCATATGACCCCTTTAAACTTTTTCACAGACAGCAGAGTTCAGACCAGACAAGAATTAAATGTCTGTACAAAATCATGTTTTTATTTAGTCGTTTTTTTATTATTATTTTTTATGACATACAACACAAGACCTGCAGAGTAAACAAACAAACAAAAAAAAATAACAAGGATAAGGAAAAGATGTATTTCGATACAAGCTAGAAAGCAGTTTAAAAATATGTATAACAAAACAAAATAAATAAAAGGCTGGTCTTTTTTTATCCCTTGTAGTTAGAGGATATAGTTTGAATACAGCTTAATATGATGTACAAAATATCACACAGTGATAAATTGCTTTAAAAAAAATAAAAACACAAAGTAATTTTACCTTGGCTGTGGACTGAAACTTTTTCTTTTTTTTTTTCTCAAATGTCCATACAATTTTCAGTTGTTCAGGCTTTTACACAATCACAAGCAAGTATTAAGCCTAGAAAAAAGGTACTACTGTCGTCTTACACCTTATTTTACTAGTAATCATAATAATGTCTAGTAAAGAAAAGCAAATAAGTCAGAAAACGGGAAACTTACATTTTGCATTGGCAGCTTTTCAAACATATAAACATTTTTGGTTTTTTAAATTTTAAATTTTTATTTTTACACAGATCCGTCCTCTCGGTAAGGAATGTGTTTTGTTGTTGTAATTTTAAGACTCTTATTGCATCGAGGGGTGTGGAAAAAGAGGTGTACAAGAGACAGCAGGACTCGTCTAAACACCCATGCAATCGGCAGTCTTTGGAAGAGAACGTAACGATGCGGCGATACATGGATGAACCCAATCGATCGTATGATCCTACACATGTAGTGTAGCATAAAGCTAACCGTTAGTGTGCGGTGTGAAGTTACTAGGTAAAGAGGTAAGCAGCAAAGTATTATGGATTCCACTAAACGCAAGTCTGTGGTTATGTGACATTCACTGACAGGGCGAATAGCCCAAAATTAATCCGTGGTCTCGATATTGAACAAGTGACAAGACATAACCTTGTCCATTAATAAAATCACTCCAAGAGGTTTTCCTTGCCAAAAATCACACCCCCAAGTAGGAAACCTTGTTTTCCGAGTTGGCTGGATGGAGTGATTCTGGATAGAGAAAGCCTGGTTAAGAACTGACATGGCTCCATTATGCAAGAGCGCTCTTTATGGCCCATCAGTCTTTTTGTTGCTTCTGACTTGCCTTCCGGCCACTTGTCTACGACCACGGAAAACCAGTAAAGGATAAAAATAAACCCAGCAAAACGGAAACTGGCTAATACAAGATGGGACCTTTGATATCCAGACCTCAAGACCAGGCTCCCTCCAACTAAGAAACCTGAAGATCAGATTCAGGTTTGAGTCTTCATCTCATCTTGGTTTCCCCCCAACAAGTTTCAGAGTTGCATCTTGATTGCTTGCTTAGCCAATAAAAAGCAAGGTGCCCCACTTTTATTTTCACTCAAAGAGCCCATATGAGCTTTACTCTGAAACACCTTGTGTCTTGCCTTGACTGGCGGCACAAAACCCATTAAGAGGACTTTTTGAATTTGTCCAAGTTCCACCACTGGGTTTTGACCTTTTGGTAAGTCAACTGAAAACTGGGGGGCACTAGTTTCTCATCGCTTAAAACGCCCTTTCGAGCTTTGCTTCGTTCTCCACTTTTCAGGAAAAATGACTTGGGTCGAGATCACAGATGTCCAAAAACTCAGAAATTGACAATACAGCTGTACTAAAACACGAACTTGTAGTTGGTTTAAATTTTTTTATTGGCGACAATCATCAACCAAAGATCCTCCAGCGAGGATATAGAGTTTATCGTCTTAAAAATACCCTGACAAAAACCTTAAAAGCCACTTCGGCACACCAGAAGCACTCTGAAATTCCCGAAGCATGGGCTGTATTTCTGAAATGCCAAAGAACCGTACGTGATAACTCCGAGGAATGGCAGGCGTCAACCGAGATTTGCTACTTTTCGACCCTCGTCGTGAACAGGTCCCTGATTCAGAGGAGATCTTAGCACCAAGGTTGTGAGTCAAGTGTGCTATTTACAGCGCATCCTGCTTAAATACAGAAATCAGTTACGCATCCAACTGCAGATCTTCCCAAAAAGTCTTCCAACCGATACTGAACACTACAATAAATACACTACTTAACAGTCACCTGACTATTACGGATAACGCCACCTGATTGGATATGAATGAAGATGGTGATTGCAAAATGCTTGTGCTAGCACCGTCACAAACGCACGGTTTTAGTTCAAAGTGTACTCGTCATAAGAATGAGATGTGTGGAACTGATTATGAAAGGCTGAAACACTAAGGCTCTTAGCTGTGAGGCTAAAGGTAAAGCTGTGTTGTACTTGCAGCTAAAACGCAACCAAAAAAACTGATCTAAAGCAGTCTTTGGAATGAAATGCATTGATCGCCTCACGTTACTAGGCAACAGTTACGCGAGGACATTAATTCACAGATTAGCACTAATGCAATTTACATCGAAAATGTGCAGGCTTGGGTAATGTCTTGTTTACCGAGAGCCTTCAAATCCTCAACCTAAACCGAGCATGAAACACATGTGTGTGTTTGCATGGGTCCATCCGTCAACAGATTGGACATCCCTCGCAACACACTGCAGATTATTAGTAGTGTAGTCTAAAACTGAAATCGGGACATGAGCAGCAAGCTCATTAGTATTGAAAGCAGTAGAGTTTGTATCACAATGTGTGAGGCATAAAAAAATTATAGGTTATCGAGTCGAGTGCCTTTAACACAGGCAGTGATGTGTAGAACATCGTTCCTCACATTTAGTGAGCGTGTGTGTGTGTGTGTGTGTGTGCAGATACTCGGCGTTTCATTCTTGTGGCCCAGTAGTGAAGGTGGATCCCCTGAGAAGAAAAAAAAAAGCAAAAATTAGCTCAAGGCTGCAGGCATCAAATGTGAACATACATACGCATGCACACCTACGACGACTACTAACAAGGAGCTGCAAGTGATTTCAGCCTTTTTGCTGAATTGCGTCAGACATAAAGAACTGAATCAGACCATAGGGACACCTTTTTCAGGGCCGAATCTCCAGAGACATGTAAAAAGCTGATACTGTATGTTGAGTATTGTGAGTGAATTAAATCTGAAGCGAGTTGTCCTCATGGTTGCAAACAAACACATACACCACTAACAGCGTAGTCTGATTCACAAACAAGTGACTATTTTGGGCCATTCTTTTAATTAAAGGGGATATGAAATGCATTTTTAAAATTATTTTGATTCCTGATGTGCACTTCTAATAATACTATGGATTTTCATCAAAAACAGTCATGATTTAGCTATAAATGATCATTTTCTACCTTGAATTTAGCTTTCTGATTTGAACGCTCCATTGGAAGGGGCGTGTCTGCTACAAGGCTTCAATGGACACGCCCACTGCTATGATTGGCTAACATCTTTGCATATGAAATGAGCATTACATGTTAAACTCACTTGAAAACTTTTACTGCATTTTTACTACAACAGCCTCCAAGATGACCTAATCGTCAAAAGTGATGATTATGGCATTTAATATAGATCTACTCCAGTTGCATTAAAAGTTGAAGAGCTGCACTGTAGCTGAACTACCGAGTCTACCGAGCAAAAGGTGCAATGATCTCCTTATTGCAACACGATTTCTGCAGTGTCATGAATACTTTCAAAATAACTAACACAGTGAAAAAAATGATGTAAATAAGAGACTCGTTGAGCAGTGTAAACTGTGTCATTGATTATAATGGGAGTTTTGTCAAAAATGCAGAAATCCAACCACTTATAGAGTAGTGCTGCTCTAATGATTAAAACGAGAACGATCTTTGATCACTTTCTGTATATATAACAATCCCAATATAAAGAACAGATGGTTTTCACACTACTAACGGGAAGAGTGTGACATTGATTTGTTTAGTCACTGGATTGATTCACTAATGCATAAACAGCTGTAAACCACTTTGCGACAAAGAATGTCTGTACATGAGGAATGTTCTATGCAATGTTCTATTCTATAGGACTATCATTTTTTTCTGCTATTTGTAATCACATTTCATTAAAAAGGTGTATATGCACAATAAACAAATAAAACGAATCGCACACAGCACAGGGTTTCTGCAGGATTTTTAAGCTCAAATTTAAGACCTTTTTAAGACCTGCACAAATAAAATTAATACCATATCAGCGGGGTAGGGCAATGTCTATTGTACCATATTAAACTGTCAAATTACTGTAAAAAGTATAATTTACAGCTCAGATACAAGTTTTCACAAAAACAAAAAGTTTTATAAAATGATAAACTTTACATTTCAGCCTTTAAACCATTTTTAAGAAAATGGATTAGTCAAAAGTATTAATTACTATATTAATTTAAAACAATTATTAACAATAAATTATTATATCAATTAAATAACAAATTAGGGGTGTGCAATATTGACAAAAAAAATGATATCTCGATAATTTACAGGGATTTTATCGATAACGATAATTAGACAATATTTTGCTGAGTGTGTTATTGTGCTGATACATTATCTCTAATTGTGCTGACAGCTGACTCCTGCATTTTTTTATATTCTTCATATTCTGTGTGGTCAGTTCACAGCAGTAATAGAAATTAATAATTTCCAATTAATCAAGTTTTTACCTTTGAGCGCCATGGACAGCTGACTCCTGAATTTTTTTATATTCTTCATATTCTGTGTGGTCAGTTCACAGCAGTGATAGAAAATTAATAATTTCCAACAAGTTTTATGGGCATTTTTACCTTTAAGTAATTTTTTCTAAAAGTGTGCACCATCTTTTGAGTCAAATTCTTGCATTTGGGTTGTTACTAAGCAAATGAAATCAGTATCAACAAAATTGATCTTTGCAATGCAGAGGAAACACAGAAGCGGCATTATTTACACACCGTTTAATGCAGCTCTGAGGGACATGGAATACTCTAACCTGCAGATGAAATGCATAAATAATGTTTTGATATTTTAAACATAAAACATTGAAAACTGATGTTTGTTATTGAACTGTTGTATAAAATCAATATCACATTTGTAATCATGCTGACTTTTGGAGAAAAAAACGGCACTTTTCGTGTGATAGTAACTAGTAACTATATGAAATTCATTTTCTGCCCCATATCTTGAATTATGTGATAATTCTAAATGTATTTTAATAGACTGATTCATGCAGTGAAAGAACGCACTATAAATGCTCACGCGCACTAGTCTAACCTACTAGAATTCATCATGTAATGTATGCGTGCACTCTGTAGGTGTTTTGTTTGCTTTTCGCGATATACTCGATAATATCAAATCGCACATCGTTAAAACAACAATTACGATATTATCGCAGACCATACATATCACACATCCCTATTCTGTTTAGATTTTTCTAATGCATTGTCTTCTTATCGATCCACCAGTTCACATTTAAAGCTCTGCGTGTTTGCAGGGTAAAAACATGGGTCGATTTTTGCATTTGTCTGAACTCTGAACAAAACATCAGTTTTATAGAAAATGCTCATTCATTCTGACAGTAGGTGGAGTGTTTGGTAGAATTATAACCGTTTCTCCGGTAACTGCTGTACACAAAGCAGCGCAGCACCGGACATTGAACGCGCAGCGCTCATGTTTATTTAATGAAATCATAGCCTTTTGAAGTTTAATCGTCACATTCAGTCATATCACAATTCTGGTCTTTCCGTCCCCAAATTTAAGACTTTTTGAAATCATAATTAAGACTTTCTTGTACAATTTAAGACTTTTTAAGGCCTTAAATTTGATACAACTAAATTTAAGACTTTTTAAGACTTTTTTAATACCCACGGAAACCCTGCTTTAACTTCTAACTCTTAATTCAGTTTTAATGTGTTTGAATATGCATTTACCAGTGAGAAAATCAAACAAAGATCTTGGCAAGCGCGTCGGCCCCTGCGCTGGCGATGAAGGGCTGCGAGGGGTGGAAGGCCACATCATGAATGGCCTCGTCGTGTTTTTTCCTGTGTGCTGTGATCTCCTGCACACACGTGCGATTGTCCAGCATCCACAACCGCACAGAGCAGTCATGACCTGAAAAAAAAAAACAGAAATCTCAAATTATAGCTGCAGAGATTTTCACATTTCAGTGAGAATGTGGTCTGTTGACGTGGATATGCGCAGAAGGCTTCAGCTGGCATGTTGTTTTGCTCACTGATGTCACACACTGCATGTTGGTGTATATTTACTTACTGCCGGAGATGAGGTAAGCGCCTTTAGGGTCTGTGGCGAGACAGGTTACAGCATCCAGGTGAGCCACCATGGAATGGATCACTTTCCCTGTGGCCACAGCGAGAGGAAGGAGGAAAGATTAGGTCATGTGGGATATTTTTGATACACAATATTGTTTCTAAATGGTCCGATATTCCAAGTTCTGGCTCAACCAATAGGAAAACGCTGTGTAAAGTTTGTGTTCCTAAATGCATCCTTTTAAAGCAAGGTTTCTAAAACTGGGATTCATGAGAGAATTGCAAAACTAATAAATAAATAATTAAAAAGTATAATTAAAATGTGTTTTTAAAATAAAATAAAAAACAATAAATGAAATATTGTATTTGTTTACCTACATTAACCAACAACAGAGCAGTGTGAACATGCTAATCTGTTTTTAAATTATTAATATATTAACTTATTTTATAATATTTTAGGGATTTGGCTGACAAAAAGGCTTAAAAAAATCTAGATAAGCCTCACTAGACGACTGGTCAACCATCATTTTTCATGGCCCAAGTGCCAGTTTGTCACTTTAAGACAATATATTGACACACATCGGATTTTCTCTCAACTGTTCACCTCCACTTAAGACATAAACTGTGTTCAGGTAAATACTCTCCAAGCCGGCCATTTTGACATATTTCTGTTTGTATTTGATCGTTTGGACAAGCGCCCGAAGCTCAAAGTGTAATTTGTTCGTCCGTTTTGGAGATTTGGGTTTTAGGGAGGAACAAATGCGCACCGCTGTGAAGGGAAAGTAGTTGTGCAAGACAAAACGTAGCTAGTTTTTAATAGCTTTACCTCATGTCATCTTTTGTATAATCCTTAGAAGCCAAAATCGAAATAAAAAAAACATAAATTTGCTTAATAAAACAGCCACAGGCCTAAAGTGTAAGCAGATGTTTGAATGTTTAGTTCTCTCTTCTATCATAATTAAACAGGGCTTTCATGTTGCGCGTGCTGAAGCTCCTCCACGTGGGCGCGATCTCGCTTCTGAATTGCGAATAGCAAAAATGCATCATAGACAAATGTTTGAAAAACAGCTGGCGACTCTGGTGAGATAGAATTTGCAAGATAATGTATATAGCAATAATAAATGTATGTGTGTTTTCTTAATTTCTCCAGAACCGTAAACGTCAGAGCTTATCGATACTCCGGTCTTTCATAATTTAGCCCCGGGACCGATTAAATACCGGGTTTCGGTACCCATCCTTAATCGTGACTCATCCTCAAATTACACAATTTACCTTTAACACAATTTCCATTATGACCATATACCCAGGAAAAAAAAAATCAATAAAAACATCCTAATATGCCTGAAAAAAAGCCGCAGGTAATGTACCACCGGATTCACGTTCCAGATGTCTTTTTTTTTCCCACTGGCTAATCTTTCACACCAAGAATGTTATTCGCTTTTCTTCAAGTGCTCTTGCTATATAAACTGGTGCGTAAAGGTTGGTGTCTGGCATGATACGATTGAGGGTTTTTTTTTACCGGAGGTTCTTTTTTAACTGCTTTGAGAGGTCTATTGTGACTGCACGGTAGGAGAGTCAAATGCTTTGCTGGTGTATTTACAGTTCCCACAGTGCACAGCTGGAAAATACGCAGTGCTATTACGGGCCTCAAAATTACTACAAGCTCTCAACACACACATACAAACAAACACACACACACCTGTCTTATTGTCCAGGAAGCGGATGGTGCGGTTCTCGTGGGCTGTAATGGAAATCGGTTGGGACGGATGGCTGACCACGCAGTTAATCAGCTCGCTGCCTGCAGGGGCGGTAAAGAAAAACACAATATTTTATTATTTTACAACAGACATCAAGTCAACATGAAACAGCATTCACAAACCATTTTACTTTTGTAACATGCTGTGTGGAACTATTATTTTCAACAAATATATATATATTAGGGGTGTTTTTAATCACGGTTCGGTTTTTATCACAGGATTATTTAATAATAATAATAATAATAATAATAATAACTAGAGGCTAAAGTTTGTAAACAAACTTTGATGTTGGCTTGAGAAAGCCAACATGGGCAGCCTTGAGGCAAAAGAGCCAGATCACTTGTGTGTTCGGCGTTCTTGAGCTGCCCCGCCACAAAAAAAGTACCACAGTTATTGATTTCGTAATATTTTTTTTCTACAGACACTTGATATTTTGTATTATAATAAAGAAGCTTATCAGTCATCTGTCTTGTCCCGAGCGTCTTTCACACTGGCCTCTGGCCATCAGTCATTATTGTTGAGTCCTGACCTGGTCACGATCAAATATGTTGGTTTAGCTTGTCAGTGTGAATTAAATGTATGTATTTATTTGGAAATATAATCGATTAAAAACAAAAGTAAGAGAGTGGAGTTGAAAGATTTCTTATCCTGCGGCTCCCTCTGATAGACAGCAATTGTCTTCTAGAGGGGACATTTTTGCTCTGGCAATGTAAGTCTATGGAAAATGTTTGATTTTGATGATTAATTATATAAAAGCAGCAAGTCTGATCAGTCTGAAAAGATATGGCAACAAACTACACTTCAGGGCCCAGGTCTCTGCCGAGTTTGGTGCTTGTAGCATTAAAGCCCTAGGAGGAGATACAGTCAGAAATTTTGGTCTCAGAACCCTGACAGCACACGTACATCAAAGAGGCGTTATTTGACGTCTGCATTTACATCCGCAAGACGTATTTTTTAGAGTGTTTGCTCATCTGCAATACGTCTATAGGATGTTTCCTATTAGATGTCAAATAGACGTTTAGAAGATGTCTTTAAGATGTTTATGATTAAGAATGTATGTAAAACTGACATCTTAAAGACATCTATCAGATGTTTGTACTCAGCAGATGCTTTCCAGATCAAGCGATCTTTAACAGACATCTTGCAGACGTATGTGTGCTATCTGGGAAGAAGAAGAAGAATATTAAGTTTAAATAGCATTTCAGAATGTTTGCTTTCTCAAGGCAATATAATAATACGATATAACACTTAACAGTAAGGTTCCATTTCTTAAGACTAGTTACCTACAGTGGTTTCATTAACATGAAATAACAATGATAAATACAGGAAAATACTAATTAATTTAGTTAATTTCAACATTTTCTAATACATTATTAAAATAAAAAGTTGTATCAGGTAAAACTTAACAGTAATATTTAATGGAACTGAGTTAACATGAAATAACAATAAATAGCTTTATTTGTATTAACTAAACTTAAAACAATAATAAATACTGTAATAAATGTTTTAAGTTTTTTTTTATAAGTTAAAGCATTAACTAATGTAAATTAATAGAACCTTATTATTCTAAGAATAGTTTATAGAATGACTTAATTCATATTTTAAGAATAAGATTATTACATTTATTTAAAGCAATTTTCACACCTTTTTACATGACTTTTCCCAAAATGGCAGTCTAATAAAGTACTTAAGTAACCTTTTTATTTTATAGTTTAAAAAAAAAAATTATAATAATTAAATAAAATTGTTTGCTGGTGAGCATAATTTGTAAATGTTTATTCCTATATGAACTGGCACTTACCATCCTTAGCCTGGTTCTCCAAGACCACGATGCTTTGCTCTGTGTTGAGGTCATAAAGCAGAGTCTCGCCCCCATCGAAGGCCACAACAACCTGGGATGGGTCGGAGTTTACAAAGGCAACCGAGGTGGGAGTGCCATGTTCTGAAAGAGACAGGCAATGAGTGAGAAGGACAAAAAGAAAGACAAACAATCCAAACACGCAAGGTCTTCTCCTCACCTTTCTCCTTGTTGAAAACAGACACACACGGTGAGGAATTATGGGGGTCCCAGATCCGTACAGTCCCATCTGCAGAGCAGGAGGCCAAACGCTTCAGGCTGGAGGAGTAGGCCAAACCCCACACCGCATCCTCATGGCCCGACAACACGCTGCTCTCCACGCCGGGATCTGAACGCATTTATACACAACATTTACAGTGGTGTGAAAAAGTGTTAGCCCCCTTCCTAATTTGTTTGATGATCTGAAATATTAAAGTGTGACATGCAAAAAAATAAGAAATCAGGAAGGGGGCCAACACTTTTTCACACCACTGTATGTCTAGCTCTGTGTTACCAAATTCATTTACAGTCAGCGCCCTCTAGAGGACTGTGTTAACCACTGTTTTTAATCACACTGTGTAACTTGCAAGTGCAGCAATAGGTTGACTTGCCATAGTTGTCGTAAGGATCTACATTAAGGTCGGGAATCTTCCAGCCACGGACGGTGCCATCCAGACCGCCACTGAAGCATGATTCTCCTTCCTCCCCCATAGCCAGAGAAAGAACAGCACCACTGAATCACACACACACACACACACAACATATTAAAAAAAACACAACAAAAATACTGTAGTGGTACTGGTAATACACTCGAACTTTGATATATATATTGTATGGCTGATTGATTTCAATAGTCATATGGAACAGCATTGTTATCCAAGGATTTTCAAAGAATACCATGATATTGCCACAGTGCATGTCCAAAAAACAAAGCTAATGCTGTTAAATGTCAAGGGAAAACACACTTTTCTAAAACCTAGTGAGCTGCTAGTGAGCAACATTTTATGAAATCCCAGCCACACTCCAGATGTGTTACTGCATGTATTCCTCCCTCCGAAAGAAAGCTCAGCAAACACATTCATTCACGATGGTGCATGAATAAAAAGAGAAAAGATTATAACTACTGTTCAAAGGTTTTGGGTAAGATTTTTAAAAAATGTTTTTGAAAGTCTCTTATCCTCACTGAGGATGAATTTATTTAGAAATACAGCAGAAATTATTGTTATTAAAATATTGTGAAATGTTATTATAATTTAAAATGTTTACTTCAATATATTTTAAATGTAACTATGACTGCAATGGCAAAGCTGAATTTTCAGCAGCCATTACTCTTCGGTGTCACATAATCCCTTAGAAATCACACTAATATTGTCATCCTATGTTTCTTGAGATTTATTATTCAGATTTATTATTATCAGTGTTGCAAACAATTGTGATGAATGTTTTTGTGTTTTGTACAATATGTTTTTATGAATAGTTTATTAATGTGAAATAGAGATATAACATTCTAAATGACCAACTTAATGCATCACTTTATATAAATGTGTGTGTGTGTGTGTGTGTATATATATATATATATATGTGTGTGTGTGTGTGTGTGTGTATATATATATATATATATATATATATTACAGACCCCAAACCTTTGAACGGTAGTGTACATGTATACTTAATTTTCATTCAATATTTATTAAACAAGAATTAATTAAAAGATAACTATTTCAAACCATGTGTGCTGTTTTTAGTGTAATAGCGTGAATATGCGTTTATTATTTTTATTTTATTCTATTAGTTTCAATTACAGATGGACAGATTTTACTATTTTAGCAGATACTGATCATTTTGATAACTGATAACTTTACTGATAATTTTCAATAATCAATTTTTTTTTTCATGGCAGGTAACTGTTTTGTGTTTGTTATGTAATCAATTAATTATAGATATTTAACTATTTTGTCTAAATTAATTAAAAATTATACTAAAACACTAACACTAACCGCATGCTACAAGTACATTTTGGCATTAAACATTATAATGTACTATATGGAAAAATGTATGTTTTGCAATTTGCCAAAGTTTACAAAGTGACTCGGTTATTAGTGTTTACAAAGATTTGTGGAAGCTTCTTTCTGCCACTGAATACAAAAATAAAAAGGGTAATTCTGACTTTGTATCTCTCAATTCTGAGTTTATATAACACAACTCTGGCTTTATAACTCACAATTTTGAGTTTATATTTCGTAATCCTGAGTTTATTTTTCACAATTCTGACTCTTCAGAATTGTGAGATAAAAAGTAACAATTACCTTACTTGTTTGTTATTCAATGGTGAAAATGGGCTTCTATAAAATTAGCCAAGAAAGCATTAAATCAAAGGAAAAGCAAAGGTAATCTAAATGTAAATATAGGGAAAATTAGCATGTACAATTAAACTTACAATATCTACTGATACCAACACTGATAAATTACAAAAAAACTACACTATAAGATAATAACCAATGGTAGCAGTATAATGTTCATGTCTAGTTTCAGTTCATATGCTACTTTGGAAGTCCACTAGGTTTTAAAGCACAGCTTTCGCCCCATAATCTAGCCTTGAGCACTTGGCAGAGTATGTTAGCCATAGGCCATGCAATTTCATTTTTAGGGAGTCGATCTCAGTCTAATTATAAACCCGTCCCACTCACCTGTGTGCTCTGAATGTATAAATGGGCTCAACGTCCAGCGCTGCATTTCTGTGAAGGCAAAAATGAGAGGCTTCCATGTTAGAACGCAGAGAGACAGTGCTAAAAGAATCTTTTACGGATCGATATTTCTAAGCACACTTCCAGAGACACCTACACGTACACGAACACAAACTTAGCATAAGAGGGCAGTAAAATATGGGTCTTCTCAGCCTTGTTTGTGTGTCTTGTTTTGGACCAATGGGTTAGGATGTGCTTCTTACTTTTTGGAGTGCATTGCCTTGTTGAGGTTCCACAGTTTGAGTGTTCCATCCTCAGAGGCAGACAGCAGAACGGCCTGGCTGGGGTGAAAGGTCAACGCTCGGATGGCATCGAAGTGGCTTCGTAGCGTGAAGCGAGGGTTCCACGTTTTTTTGAACTCTTCTCGACTGTCCTGCAACTAATCATATCAAAGGATACTATTCCTTGTGGAAAAACTACACTTTACACTTTACTACATTATATACTTTTAAAAAGTACTTGTGACAGAAACAATATTAGATTAAGAATATAGTGGGAACTGAATGTAATGTTTTCAGTCACTTCAATTGCATTTTTAATCCAGTTTTGTGTGAAATATGCAGATAAAGAGCATTTTATATACTGCAGAAATAATTGTGATAAAATGTCACTCTAACGATTAAAAATGCTTTCAGTTGAGGAGGAAAGATTACTTATTAAACTAACGTCAATGGTGAGGTCATTGTCGTTGGCAACAGTGAGGTCAGCCAGCTCTCCGAGGTTCATATCCCCTCCTCCAACCGCATCCAGAATGAAGACATCAGATGAGAATCCAAGAGCTCCCCCTTGAGTTCAGACAGATGCACAACAGAGTGAAAATTCAGCACAGACATTCTACAGATTCAAAAGAAGAAAAAAAATAATAATAATAATTAATAATTAATTATA